ATATAGCTGGACCCTTTCCTCATAGCTGGGCTGGGTACCAATTCATTCTTGTAATCATTGACTACGCCACCTGATTCCCCAAAACAGTACCATTGAAGTCAGTGACAGCTACAGCCATAACGGGGGCTCTACTGAAATGGATTGCCTGGGTAGGCATCCCTCGCGAAATCCTGACCGACCAAGGAAAATTTTTATGTTGAAAATTTTAAAGGGGGGTCTGCCAGGTGCTGAGAATTAAACAGCTATGCATCTCCATCTATCATCCGCAAACCGATGGACTAGTAGAACCGGAGATCCCCTCTTGAGCCCAGGGGTGATCCCCAGGGGGCAACCTGATAGCAGTGTGCATGTGTCTAGGCTGGTAATTCTGGATATGTGTGTGCCTGAGTTGGTGTTGGGGGCGTATGTGCCTAGTGTATGTATGTGCACCTAATTGATTTTTGTGTGTGCATATGTGAAATTGTGTCACACCCTCCTGTCTAACAACGCAATTTTGAGATCCTGAGAGTTGGCCTGGCCCCACAGGACAATAGCACCACCGCTCTCCCATCTTGATGGCACCTTCTTCCCTGGACAGATCCAGACCCAACTTAACTGCTGGTCCAACTGCCACCCCCAGCAGGGCACAGCAGGGATCAAAGGTTGTGGGAGAGAAGCTGTCTGAGCCAGCCCTGGCTGAATCAGATTCTCAGGCCCTGCCCCCGCCCCCTCCACAGCCTGCCACCTGCAGAGCTGTTTGCAAAATGGTAATCCTGCGGTTTCCCTCTTCAAAGAGGAAAATCCATGTTTTTCTCCTTTAAAGGGGAAAATCCCATGTTTTTCCAAGGAAAATGGAAAACTCAGATCCCTGCTAATCAGTCTCCTACAAACATAAACAATAACCTAGTTGATCTGAACTATAAACTTAAATTCATATTAAAATACTATATTTTTCTCATATGCAACATACCCCAGAACATAATTCACACCTCATTTTCAGGAGGGCAGACTGAAGAAAAGATTTTTTCTGGGGTTATGGCTCTACAGAGCAGGGACAGAGCCTAATCTTCAGCTCACTCACCCTCTCTTCCCTACTTAACGAAAGCTAAAATTCTTGCTGCTGAAGACTGATCTCCATGAGTGGATTTATGATATTGAAAAGAGCTAAAACATGGGGTAGGCAACCCCCAGCATGCATGGCACGTGAAGGCATTTTGCTTGACACTCGCACCTCAGGGAAGGGGCTGGGACTCAGGCTAGGGCTGTGCTGCCAAAACAGGGATCAGGCCCTGTGATGCTCCCCCTGCTACCTGCCCATAGCACACCAACATCTTACAGGTCAAGGTTGTGGTTGTTTTTTGGCACTCTGTACAAAAACATTCCTGACCCCTGAACTAAGGAGTCTCCCAGGCTGAAGCAGGAGACACCAACCAGGAATAGCAGAAGTCAGCAATATTTCCCTAAGAAATGTTGGCTTGATTAGTAGAACATTAACCTCATTAAAAAGGAGAGATAATTACCACCTCTGGAATAAAGAACAATGAGCTCTTAATTGATTTCCTCAGATGCCTGAATAGTAATGCAACAGCTGCTGTGCTATGGACCGGGAATTAAAACAGGGTGCTTCTATCCTAGGCAGAAAATCAGCTTCCCTGCTTAATGTATGTACCCCCACATTGTTTTTTTGGGGACTGGGTGATTTTGGGGGGAAAAGATGTGTTGCATGTAAGGAAATAGTCCCGGAAGGTGGGATCTGATGATAGCATAGTCCCTATGCTCAGCACTTCCTTATTATTGGCTGCTGTCAGTATACTTGTGAATGCCCTTGGTACTTAGCTCTCCCCGTACATTGTACAGGGAGTGCAAATACCATGCACAAGGTGTGGGATTCACACTGGGGTCTGGGCAACTAAAAGGACTTAAACTGCCTAAGTTGTAGGCACTTAAAACCTTTCTTAGACATTGCCCTTAGTGTTTCATGGGATACTTAATGACAAACTGCTTGAGCTCCCTACCCCATGTGTGTAAGCATTTTTTGTGGAGATTTACTAACTTACAAATTGTTCAGCCATCTGCAGTAGTCTATTTGAAGCCAGAATCTCTACAGCCTTGCTCCTCGTGTGGTTGTTTGTGTCACAACCCAAAGTTGTGGATTTTTTAATTGTGTGCGCTTCGGCCGAATTGGAGATCTTTTGCACGACGGAGTGTTCTGTTGTTATGGAGAACCCGCGTGCAGAAAAGTGTTTCC